CATGCATGCAAGGCAAGCGCTCTACCACTGAGCCACCTTCCCAGCCCCTTATTTTAAGATTTTTTAAAAAATATTCAAGGGGCTGGGAAACATAGCTCAGCGGTAGAGTGCGTGCCTTGCAAGCATGAGGCCCTGGGTTCGATTCCTCAGTACCACATAAACAGAAAAAGCCAGAAGTGGCACTGTGGCTCCAGTGGTAGAGCACTAGCCTTGAGCTGAAGAGCTGAGGGACAGTGCCCAGACCCAGAGTTCAGGCCCCATGACTGACAAAAAAAAAAAAATTCAAATGAAATATTGCTTTTTACATTGGTTTCCAACTATCAAATTCTTATATAAAATTTCTCAACTCCCTTCACAGAGTCTTCTGGGCCATTATGGCAGTCAAGTGGACTGGAGGACATTCTTCTCCTATTCTCTGCCTGAATGCAAGTAAAGATGGGCTAGTGGCTTCTGGAGCAGAGGGTGGAGATCTCATAACTTGGGGTGAAGATGGAACTCCAGTAGGACACATGCAGTTTCAAGGAGCCAATGATGTTACCAGTGTTGTGTTTTCTCCCTCCTGTCCCACCAAGCTCTTTGCCTCACATGGAGAAACCATTAGCATACTGGATGTCAGGTCTCTCAACGGTTCTTTGGATAATTTTCATGTGAATGAAGAAGAAATCAATTGTCTTTCATTGAATGAAACTGAAAACCTACTAGCTTCTGCTGATGACTCTGGGGCAATCAAAATCCTTGACTTGGAAAAGAATAAAGTTACCAGATCCCTGAAGAGACACTCCAATATCTGTTCCTCTGTAGCTTTTCGACCTCAGAGGCCTCAGAGCCTCTTGTCATGTGGCCTGGATATGCAGGTGAGGCTTTTGTAAAGAGATTTTTGAATGAGATTTGCTAGCAGTCAAGAGTTTGTGTGGGGATGGGAATGTGGCTGAGTGGTAGAATGCTTGCCTAGAATGCATGAAGCCTTGGGTTTGATTCCTCTGTACCACATAATCCGAAAAATCCAGAAGTGGTGCTACAGCTCAAGTGGTAGAAAGCTAGCCCTGACAAAAAGAAGCTCAGGGACAGTGCCCAGGCCCAGAGTTCAAGCCCCACAATGGACACCAAAAAAAAAAGTTTCTCTGTGTGTTTGTGTGTTGGGGCTGTTTTTTGTTTTCTTTTTTCTTTCTTTCTTTTTTTTTTTTTTTTTGTCAGTTGTGGGGCTTGAACTCTGGGCTTGGGCGCTGTCCCTGCACTCTTCAGCTCAAGGCGAGCGCTCTACTGCTTGAGCCACAGCAGCACCACTTCCAGTTTTCTAGTGGTTTATTGGAGATTAGAGTCTCATGGCCTTTGCTGCCCTGGCTGGCTTTGAACTGTGATCCTCAGATCTCAGCCTCCTGAGGAGCTAGGATTACAGGCATGAGCCACTGGTGCCCAGCTGTTTTCATTTTTATAATCCAGCAGTCTTATTTTTTTTTTTTAACATCTCCTTGGCCATGAATTCATAGGGAAGAGGTTCCAATAGCCCAGGCTCCTTTCTGTTGATTCTCACAAAGTGTGCTTCTCTGGGTGGAGTAGACTGGTGTTTCAGTTGAACCCAGGTTCCTTTCTATTTGGCTTCCTTCTTTTTTTTGGTCATTTTCCTTCGCTAGGCTCTTAGCGTGTTTAGGATGCTCAATATGGACATACAGACATTAATCCTCTTGGCAAGGATCTTGCCCTTAACTTGCTTGTTCACAACAATGCCAACAGCATGCTGGGTAACGTTATAGACCCTAACAGTTTTGCCATGCTAACATTGGTGGGGCATTCCTTTTTGAACAGTACCCATTCCCTTGATGTCTACAATATCACCCTTCTTATAGATTCTCATGTATATGGCCAAGGGAAGGGCCTAGAGAACATGTATCAAGTACCTCCCCTCTTTCCTTTTGTGTTCATCATTTCGGCAAATTACTGGAAGATAGTGGTTCTGGCCAAAAGGATGGGACTCTTTTTGTTTGATTGTTTTTGGGCAGTTGAACTTGAACCCAAGTCCTTGTACATGCTAAGCATATGCTATATCCCTGAGCCCAGCCCAGCCCCAGATTTAAGTTATTGATCCCATTATGAACTGTAAGCTTTACTTCCACATGGAATGTGCTAATCTGACAGAACCAAGTAGATTTTTTTCAAGTATGATTATTGATTCTTTTATCTTCCTTTGCCTGTGCTTTTAAGACATTTCTAAACCTATAGGGTTCAAATATTTGGCTCTAAACATCTGTTTAAACAAAGGGGAACATTGGGCTGGGAAGGTGGCTCGGTAGTAGAGTGCTTGCCTCACATGCATGTAGCCCTGGGTTCAATTCCTCAATACCACACAAACAGAAAACGCTGGAAGTAGCGTTGTGGCTCAAATGGTAGAGCACTAGCCTTGAGCTAAAAAGCTCAGGGACAGTGCCCAGGCCCAGAGTTCAAGCTCCACAACCAACAAACAAGAAAGAAAGAGAGAGGGGGAGAAGGAAGGAGGGAGGGAGAGAGAGAAAAAAAAGAAACAAAGGAGAACATTGAAGACAAAAGATCCTGGCCTCGTATTTACTTTCATATCTGTAGTTCATTAACTGAAATATTTGTATATTGGTACCAGAATCAGAGCTTTGCATTCAATGCTGGATTTTTTTTGGGGGGGGACACACTTTCAGAGAAGAGTCAGTAGGAAAGTAAATATAACTAGAACCACATTATATGTGGGATCTGTAGGAGTTTATTTTTCTTTTTTTGTGTGTGTGTTTGTGTGCGTGCCAAAACTGGGGCTTGATCTTAGGGCCTCGGCACTATCCCTTAGGTTTGCACTGGCACTCAACCATTTGAGCTACAGCCCTACTTCTGACTTTTTAGTAACTAGTTGAAAATAAGACATTCATAGACTTTCCTGCCCTAGCTGGCTTTAAACCTCAATTTTCAGATCTCAGCCTCCTGAGTAGATTATCGGCCTGAGCCACTGGCACTCAGTTATTTCTTAGTTTTATTTAAAGGATGAAAATGGAATGTGGTATTTAAACAGTGTAAATCACAGGGAAGCAGATTTTGTATTACTACCAGTGTTTACAAATAGTTTGAACTTTGCCATAGTGATATGTATTCCCACTCAAGAAAGTAAATCTCATCAATGGAATGAAAATAATCATGACTTACCTCTGTTGTTTACTTAGTACTTGCCAATGCTTTACATGGTTTCTCCATGTAAAACATTGGTTTTAATTCTACCCATACCTTCCTTGATCATTCTTGGGAATTTTTTATAAGGAGGAAACAAATTAAAATTAATGTCCACATAACTTCCTGATTTCATGCAAGCTGTGTAACTCCAAAGCCAGTGCTTTTTCTCTGACACCTGAGACATTTGAACATGTGTTATTAATAATAGAAACTTTTCTTAGTTTGGGAACAGGAGACATCTAGATATAGAATCATTAATTATTAAGGTATATCCATTATTGTTCAGTGTTTTCACTGCTAAGATTCTGTAGAAATCTGTGGAATCTTTTGGGAATGCAAGATGCTGATTTGGTTATTGTCACAATGACTGCCCTCCCTCCCCTAAGCTACCAGTATTTAAAGTTGTAGGATTTGGCAGTGGAAATAGTGAATGTCCTATAATGCTGGGACAGCCCCCAAACATTAAAGCATCCCTTCCCAAAGCACCTATACTGCCTTTGCTGTACTGACTGTACAACCACTAAATTCCTTTTCCAGTCCTAGGACTTGATCAAGCTCTTTATAAACCTAGCTTCTCTACCCTTGTGGTGGTGATCTGCCTGTGTGGTTGTAAAGAGCACCTGAAGAGCCAAGTGTATACCAATTATGACTAAGCAGTTTAAAGTGTGTCATTGACTAGTCATTCTTTCATCCTAAAGATATACCAATTTTTTTCAGGTGCCAGTGGCTCATGCCTGGATAATTGTGAGGCTGAGACTGGGAAGATTGCAGTTTACAACTTATTCTCAACCGATAGTTGGGTGCAGTGGCATGTACCTGTCATCCTAAGATACATGGGAGGCTGAGATTGGGAGGATCATGGTGCCAGGCCAGCAAAGGGAATAAACACTGTGGTTGTGCAAAATGGGTAAAATTCCATATGAAGCTATAACTTGGTCTTATTTATAGGTGATGCTGTGGAATCTTCAGAAGGCTCGCCCACTCTGGATTACAAACTTACAGGAGGATGAAACAGAAGAAATGGAAAACCCACAGTCACCTGGCCAGCTCTTAAATCCTGCCCTAGCACACTCTATCTCTGTAGCATCATGCGGCAATATTTTTAGTTGTGGTGCAGAAGATGGTAAAGTGCGAATCTTTAGGGTGATGGGAGTCAAATGTGAACGAGAGCTGGGATTTAAGGGCCATACTTTGGGGGTATCCCAAGTTTGCTTTCTGCCAGAATCCTACTTGCTGCTCACTGGAGGGAATGATGGGAAGATAATGATGTGGGATGTGAGCAGTGAAATTGAGAAAAAAACTAAGAGTCCTGCAAAACATACTCACAGGAAGAAAACTAAAAGAGCAACTTACACCAAACAGGAAGAAAACAGTGCTTCCATAACAGATGTGGAGGAACATGGCAAAATTTCACCAAAGCTAAATATTGAACATGGGGAAAAAGTGAACTGGCTCTTGGCTACCCAAATAAAGGGACACCAAAGTATATTAGTTGCTGATCAAACTAATTATATATCTGTGTACCCTTTAAATGAATTTAAAATGTCATAAAAACATTTGAAAAACTGGCAAACTTACTTAGGTTAAAAAAATCCTGCTTCTTTTAAACTGTTTACCATATATGGAATTATACCATTGTGCACATTTTAAAACATTTGAAGAAAAAGAAAATAATTGCATATTTCATATAATGTATTAAAATTTGGAGAAAGAAAAGTAATGCTATTGACTATGCCACCATTTTATACTAACATGCTATTTCTGATTCCAAATCAGTGACATAGGTGATGCCTCCGTTTTCATTGGCATAAGAGGGATTCTTTTTTTTTTTTTCCTTTTTTCTTTTTGTCTGTTGTGGAGCTTGAACTCTGGGTATGGGCGCTGTCCCTGTGCTCTTCAGCTCAAGGTGAGCACTCTACTGCTTGAGCCACAGCACCACTTCCAGTTTTCTAGTGGTTAATTGGAGATAAGAGTCTCACTGACTTTTCTGCCGGGGCTGGCTTTGAACCTTGATCCTCAGATCTCAGCCTCCTCAGTAGCTAGGATTACAGGTGTGGCCAAGAGCACCCGGCCTTCATTGGCATAAGAATGAAGACCCTAAATGGTAAGTGGCTTAGGCATCCAGGAGTTTCAGGATGATTATTTGCCTAGAAAGGACCTTGGTGGTCACGTCAAGCCTCCTGTTTTCTGGAGGCCTACAGTACAACCCAAATGAAGTCATCACATTGTTTATGACATTAGTTATTTCTGATCACAGATTGTCATGAGGAACCTTTACTAAGTTAGAAAAGGAAATCTATCCTTGTTTGATGAAGCTCAGATGCTTTACTCAAACTTATAAATAAACAATTTGAGTGAGTAGATGTAAAAAGCAGAATATATAAGAAAGTAACAGAGGCCAAGATAGTGGATAGACAGAAAGTTCCTTCTCATATGGTGCTGGGGACTGAAGCCACTTGAGCCACAGTTCCACTTATGGATTTTTTTGGTTAATTGACAGTAAGACTCTCATGGACTTTTCCTGCCTGGGCTAGCTTCGAACAACCATCCTCAGATCTCAGCCTTTTGAGACGCTGGAATTACAGGCATGAACCTTCAAAGCCTAGCTGTATTTATTTTTAGACCTGAGTTTTTTGTAAATAAGCCATGATTTAAAAAAAAAAACAAACATGTTACCTCTTAGGAGTTCAGATGGACAAAATTGTTAATCATATTATAAATGAATGTATGGCAAGATGTTTAAATCATTGTGTTACAAACCAATGGATATATTTATTTGAAACTATTGATTATCATGCCAGATTACAGAGGTATATATAACCTTGTGTTAATGAAGAGAGTCTTTGTAGTTTCCTGTGGTGTATTCATGAAAGAAAGTTGAGTAAACAGAATATATGTATTTGGAGAACTGTAGTAAGTAGAGCTGGGGCAGAAGATCATAGGGGCTCCATCTTGCCATTGGATATAGCTTCTCTGCAGTTTGGTCCCTCCATTTGAACAGAAGTAAAAGGTAGCACTCCTACCTCTAGATCTTTTCACTTGTCATCAGTGCAAGCCCTGGGGCTGATCCAATTGTTTATTGGCATCCAACTCAAGCTAGGTTGCTGGGTGTCTCACACTTATAACCTAGCTACTCAAGAGGATTAGATCTGAGGATCTCACTCAAAGCCGGCCTGAGCAGAAAAGTCTATGAACCTTACTAAACAGCAAAAAACCAGAACTGGAAGTGTGGCTCAAAGTGATAGAACACCAGCCTTGTGCAAAAATGCTAACCAAGAGTATGAGGCTTTGAATTCAACTACCAGTTTACACACCCACACACAACCCAAACACAAAATCCAAAATATACAAAATATTCAAGAGCTAAAGGGGGGCTGGGAAGATGGCTCAGTGGTAGAGCGCTTGCCTTGCATGCATGAGGCCCTGGGTTCGATTCCTCAGCACCACATAAGAAAAAAGAAAAAAGCCCGAAGTGGCGCTGTGGCTCAAGTAGTAGAGCACTAGCCTTGAGCTGAAGAGCTGAGGGGCAGCGCTCAGGCCCAGAGTTCAGGCCCCATGACCTGACTCAAAAAAAAAAAAAAAAAGAAAAGAAAAAAGCCGGAAGTGGCATTGTGGCTCAAATGGTAGAGCGCTAGCCTTGAGTTGAAGAGCTGAGGGACAGTGCCCAGGCCCAGAGTTCAGACCCCACGACCAGACCCCCCGCCCAAAAAAAAGAGCTAAAGGGAAGTCAGAGTAAGAGGAACAAGGTATATATTGTAAAAAAAAAAAAAAATTGCCTACCCCTCATCTGTATCTTTATGGTTCAAAATTTTTACAACAGGGCTGGGAAGGTGGCTCAGTGGTAGAGTGCTTGCTTTGCATGCATGAGGCCTTGGGTTCAATTCCTCAGCACCATATAAGCAGAAAAAGTGGAAGTAGCCCTGTGGCTCAAGTGGTAGAGTGCTAGCCACTCTACCCTCAGCTGAAGAGCTGAAGGACAGCGCTCAGGCCCAGAGTTCAAGCCTCATGACTGACCGGAAAAAACAAAAAAAAAACAGATGATGGCAAACCCCTTCATTCTTGACTATGTCTGGGCTCTTGTATAGACTTTGTTTAAAAGGAAAAATTGTTTCTAATATAAGAGCATAGGATAGTATACAAGGAAAATGTGAAAGGGTACAAGGCTGAAGTCTTGTACCATAAAGTGTTTGGGGAACCATTGAGTTCATGATACCACTGGTCAGATAGATACTACCCATGTATTGGGAGGGGATGAACTAGACCATGAAACAGGCCTGTGTATATTCTCAGCACTCTAGAGTTCTCCCTTCTACTTTCATTTTACTTTAACTTACTGTTTTTTGGGGGGTAGAAGGATGAGGGGAGAGACAAGGTTTCACTATATAGCTCTGGCTGGCCTCAAAGTCACCATCCTCCTGTTTCAGCATCCGAGGTATGCATTGCTACACACAACTATCTTGCTAGTTCTTTATGTAATTGACATTATCAATGAACTTTCTAAACTTTTTGTATGTGTATGAGGATCCTGGGGCTTGAACTTAGGGCCTGCGTCCCTGTCCCTCAGCTTCCTTTTTTGTTCAAGGCTAACTACCACTTGAGTCAAACCTCTACTTCTGGCTTTTGTTTGGGTAATTTATTTTGAAGATAAGAGTCACAGAGGGCTAGGAATGTAGGTTAGTGGTAGAGTGCTTGCCTAGCATGCATGAATCCCTTAATACCACATAAAGAGAAAAAGTGGGAAGTTGCACTGTGGCTCAAGTGGTAGAGTGCTAGCCTTGAGCAAAAAGAAGCTCAGGGACAGTTCCCAGGCCCTAAGTTCAAGCCCCAGGACTCAAAACAAAACAAAAAAAAACAGTCTCAAGGATTTTCTGTGAGAGCTGGCTTTGAACCATGATCTCAGATCTCAATATCCTGGGTAGCTAGGATTCCAGGCATAAGCCACCGATGCCCAGTATTCTAAACTTAGAAAACAAAAAAACAAAACAGGGCAGGGAATGTGGTTTAATGGTAAAATGCTTGCCTAGCATGCATGAGACCCTGGGTTCGATTCGTTGGTACCATATAAGCAAAATTAATAAATGAAAAATAACCATTTAAAATAACTTTTAAGAAACACAGTGTTTATGGGTGTTATGCAATTTAAATATTTTGATGTGTCAGGAGATAACTGCTCTTTTAAACACTAGAAATAGCCATTGTTTTATGCTGCTGGTGGTAGTAACAAGAATATAACTGGAGAACAATAAATTTTTAACTCAGCAATTATATTTTTATTTTTAAAACAGTCATCTTGAGGTGCAATTCACATACAATATAATTCATCTTAAAGTGTAAAATTCCCTGATATTTCGTAACTTGAGATGGTTGTGTCAATATTCACCAGAACCTAATTTTAGAAAATATCTTTCCCACTGAAAGGAAACTCCATATCCATTAGCATTACTCCTTACTTTCAGAAGCCATGGGTTCCCACCTGATTGCCAGCAACAACATTGGCCTGAGATAGTAAAGACCACTCAACACTATTTCTACCATACTATGAACTCAAGCATGTATACTTCATAGTTTTTAAGAGAAAAAGTATTAGACATCCAAAATTAATACTTACTAAAATTGCTTTTAGTGTAATATTACTTAAATATGTCCAAACCCAACATATTGTGTATGTAAGATCTTAAGCAACTATAAATCAAACCCAATCTTTATATTAAATACAAGCCAAATTACAGCTGTTAAAATGACAGCAATACTTACTATATTGGCTGATGGTGCTTCTAGAAACCAAACCAACTCTCATATCATGGGTTTGACACTGTTTTAGAACAGATTCTTTGGTATCTGACAAGTTGATATTATCTTGGGCAGAGAAATGACTCAATTATAAAACTCATTGACTTGCATCCAGCAATTCAATGCATTCTCAGTTTTATTTATTTTTTTAATTTAATTTTATTTTATTTGTGAACATACTGTACAGAGGGGTTACAATTACATGGGCAGGATAATGCGTACATTTCTTACCAAGCATTGCAGCCTCCTCCTTTGTTTACCCTTCACATCCCTTCCCAGCCTCCCCCCTCCCCCCCACTCAGTTTTATTTAGATTTTTTGAAATCATGAATATTTATCCCTACCATTTTTTTATTCTTTTTAATTTGTTGTTTTTTATCAGTCATGGGGCTTGAATTCAAGGCCTGGGTGCTAACCCTGAGCTCTTCAGCTCAAGGTGAGTGCTCTACCACTTGAACCACAGTGCCACTTCTGGTTTTCTGGTGGTTAATTGGAGTCTCACAGACTTTCCCAGGCTGGCTTTGAACTGCGATCCTCAAATCTCAGTCTTCTGAATAGCTAGTATTACAACATGAGCCACTGGTGCCCAACTAATACAGTATTTTTTGTGTGGCCTCCTTCACATATCCTAATAAATGAGACTTTAAGCAGAGTACTATTTCTAAGGAGGTAAAGTGCCCCCTCTGTTGGCCCAATAGCCTCCTCTCCCATAGCTTAGCATGTTCATTTCTGAGGCATCACTAGGCCCATTTGGTAAAGGCAATAAATAATCAGCCTCCACCCCCCTTCACCTTGAGATTGCATTCCTTTGGGGGCAGTTACAACCATAGAAGGCAACAACAAGATCCCCTTAAAGTGACCTTCAAGTCTGGGCAGCTACAAAACCCTTTATCTGCCACTTGGGCAGTAGC